ATTTTGATTTCCCTGCCGAGGAGATGAAAGCTGAGACGACACTGGCTGGTAGCTGGTTTGCTACAGCATTTGCAGTTCTGAATTTCGTATGCGGATCCCAGAGATGTGCATGTTCCACACTCATTGCCATGCAGTGATGCAGTGGCAGAGTGGTTGTCCCTGTCTGAACAATCCATAAACTGATCCGATAAGAAAGCATCTGCAATGGCTACTCTGTACCGTAGAACTTTGCTTTTATGTTTGAAAGAATACTCTGTACATGCAATTTGGTATGCAGATCAGCCTGAACGTGACTTGAAAAGGTATGGCCTGACCAATCTCAGTCTATGGCATTCACATGAATGAACACACTATTTCCCTTTGACTCTTTCCTAGAATCCTAGGCTTCGACCAGGGAGCTCCATTCTTGTTGAAGTTCAGTTTTTATTTTTATCTGATCCTAGTTTTCCTTTTTCATGAACACGCAGCATGAGCTTTTCACATCATCAAATTGTTAACTAAAGAACTTTTCCATCCTCTCAAACTCAAAGTGGATAGAGGACATATCTGGCTATGCACCCTCAGCACTCAGCAGTGCAGACGTGCAGTACTACAATTTGCAACTACTCGGCAGGTCTCACGCATGAGTGCGACACGACCGGTTCCTTGTACAATTGTACGGAACCGGACTTGGCCGTCACGGAAACGTTGCAAGAATTCAGGTGTCTGACGCAACAACTGCATGTAGATGTAGGGTTCCTCTTTCTGAAAGGAAAGAAGCACAAGATTGTTCACCTAAGCTAAACATGCAAGGTATAGGTTCCCGTATATGATGCTGTGCTACTAATTTTGCTAAACAAAGTGAGAAGAAATGACAGGTTATAGGTTCCCGTATATGATGCTGTGCTACTAATTTTGCTAAACAAAGTGAGAAGAAATGACAGGTTAAGTACTTACGTATTCTTCCCTCCAATCTAAAAGAGTGCATATTTAGATCCAATCAAAAGTCAAAGTATTATAAATTCGACTATATTTAGTATCAACAATTATGATTACAAATAGATATACTCGCTCTGCGCGGCTGTGCTTGTTCTAGCTGTGGCTGTTAAATTTCTTAGTTGCTGTAGTTGTTGAGTCCTTGTGGCAGCAGCAGCCTCAGCGCTTCTACAACAAAGGCAGATGCAGATCAGGCTCATTATAAAAAGATATTTCATGATAATGATATTTTTTATATCATAACTATTAGTATTTTTTTTAAAAAAAAAGAGAAATTTTCGTAAAAAATAGATCAGAATGAAGATGGTTTGATTGAACACTGAAGATAGTTTGATTGAACACTGTATCTAAAAGTGCACTCTTTTGAGGACGAGGGATACGAATTTCTGCTTAGAATCATTGCAAAATTCAAAGTGAACAACTGTGTCCCTCTGAACTGATCCTCCAGTGCGTGCACTTTAACCAGGTGTCATCGGTGCCTCTTTCTGATCCTTTTCTTCTATTGGATTGGAGATCTACCAGACTCAGTAATCCTTCACGTTTCATTTTATTCTACCGACCTTCATCTTGGCAGCTACTAGTACTACCTTTGCAGTAACCGCTGAATTAGACGAGACAGCATTCAGAATCACGCGTAAACTTATTCGATCAGCGTCAACGGCGCATTCCATATGAACCAAACTGATAGTGCTCGACAGATGATCCGATCCGCGATGAACGGAACCGAATAATGGCCATGGCCCCCAACAGCGGAAGCATTACAGCGACACGATGAGCCGGCGATCGAACAGGCGATGGACACCGGTATAAGTGTCGACAAGAGCAAAGAAGATTCTCGTAATCTCCTTCTTGAGAGTTGAGATGGTCAGCCATCCCCCAAGTCATTCAGGAGTCACGCAGGCTTTAGCTTTACCCCAGATAGATGCCCAAAGGCACAACATCTGCCTGCCTAGTGTGGTTGGGCACCCAGCCACTAGCTCAGCTCCCACACGACGCAGCCAGTAGCAGCTTTGGAGGGGGCTGGGTTCCTCAGTTCCTGGCTGGGAGCTTGACATGTTTTGTGCCTTTGTATGGAGCCCTGGACAGGATCACGACAGGGGTCGGCAGGTGTTGGATCTGGAATCTCACAGGTCACAGCGCACGCAACAAATGGCCCGTGGAATCATGGAGGAAAGGAGGGAAAGAGGTAGGGAGGATGCAGATGGACGCCGAAAGGCCAGAAGAGCCGAGAGGTCACCTGGCCCCTAGCCTAGCCCCTATCCATCCATCCATGATCCTTAATCCATCGTCCTCAATAGTCAATACCCAACCCTGCACCTGCATGGCTCAATGGCTGCATCTGCCTGTCAACCATCTTCTTGGAGCTAGTAGATCTGAGCGAGTGATCCTTCTCGGCCTGGATGGGAACACACCACATGCTCCCGCCCCAGCGGCTGCATCCGACCTGATCATGGAACCAACGGCCTAGATCACCAGTAGGTGCCCTTGAGATTCCTGCCGCTCTCAAGTTTTAGAACTTTCAGAGTTTCAGTGGAGCTATGCAAGATGCTCTGGTGTTCAAGAAATCAGAGAATCTCTCACTTGTGGCCAGTAGGAAGCTGAGGGATGAGAGATGGCGCGGTGTTTGATTCGTGGGTGAGTTGGATATGGATATCCTGGATGGGAATATTTTCCAAGGTGTTAGATATCCCTGCCACCAAAAAATTATCTAGCGAGCTCAATAGCTCATCCATATTTTATAATCTTTATCATTACCAAAAAAAAGAATTATTAGTGTGTTATATTATTGCTTAGTAATTATGATGGCAAGATTAATTTTGATGTGCTAATGTGTTGATTAATGTATTTTTTGCATGCTAATTAGGGTAGTAGTGGTGCTGATTTCCATATTTTATTTGTAATTAGCAATTATCATGACAAAATTAGCGTTAATGGATGTTTATTAGTGTATAATTGTTATTTTTAAATAATATAAAAATACAATTAGTCAAGTATTTTTCGAGGAGCAGCTACGCAATTGCCAGAGTTGCTGGCGTTGATCAGGCACCAAGCCGGGCTTTGGGTCAAAGCCGGGGCTAAAGGCCTGGGTTGCTTAATCCAGCGTGTAGTCAGCTAGCTGATTCAAGGTAGTGGTGAGGGCCAAATGCTTTGTTGATCATCTTTAGAGCCCACCCATTGTACTAAACATTGCTTTCTCTTGATAAAAAACGCGTAAATCTTTTTCGTGATCGAGAAAAAAAAAGCATTCTCATCTCATCCATTCTCATCTATCTATAATAACCAAACAAAGAAAAACTCCATCCATCCATCTAACAAAAAAAAGAACATGGATAACCATATCTAGAAATCCATGGATGACAATATCCCATACAACCTTACCCTTCATGTTCTTGTACTTTACACTGGTTAGTGGTTACTCATCCTATCTATGGTAGGAGATGGATAAATCTGTAGGCGAAGCGAACCAGATGGCTTAGGCCTGTTCGGCTGGTATTAAAGTCAACTGATAAGCCGATTGAAGCTGTTTTGTTGTGAGAGAAAAATACTGTAGATTCCAGCTGATAAATCGGCTGACAAGTTCAAGCGAACAGACCCTCGATGCGCACAGCACAGGCAAATACAGGACAGTGACATTTGTGGCCACGACAGGGGATGAACCCTGGCCTTGTGTATATCAGCGCGCGCCTGATCTGAATGCGCAGAGCAATTTCCAACACCTAGGTCAATTGCGTTCTCACCATATTCGGTGGCAGCAACAATGCCATATTATATTTAGTATATACTGCAAGTTTCTTCCCAGTTTATGCGGCACATGCGACAGCAAGTGTCCGGAGTCCGTGAACGCTGCGCCGCGCAAGCGCCGCGGCGGCGGGCGGCGGCGGCGAGGAAGTCATAGTATAACCGACGCCCGGGCGGCGCTCACCAACCCCGTCCCGGGTGACGGTCGTCCTCGAGCTCACAGCATCTGTACCAAATCCAAAAACTGCTCATAAATTCTGGAAGACCTTTTCGTTCGTCCTCGTCGTTTCGCAACACATGTGCAGTGCAGACGCACTCGACTACTCCGGCACGCACAGCAAGCAAGCCCAGCCGGCCAGACCCACACACCGACCATGTCGATGACGCTGACGTGCGCGGCGCCGCGCGACAGGTAGCGTCCCAGAGCTGCGTTGAAATCCGCCGCGGCCCACCGCGTGACGTCCGAATATCTCGGCGTTTATCCAGAGATTCCGGCGCTCTCGGCCGTGACACCTGCCCCGCCGGCCTTGCCTGTGCCTTGCCCCCGACGCGACGCGGGAGAAGGCTACGAGAGGCACGAGGCGGACGAGAGGAGAGGAAGGTATAGCAAGATACAACGAGAGAGCGGGGCGGCCGAGCCGACGGCGACAGGGTCGTCGACTTGCCGTTCCTTTCCCGGTGCACCGTACACGTCTCCGATGATACTAGTCCCGACGAGGACGGGGACGAAGACGTCGGCGCCGTGCTCATCTTGCCTTCGAGTTTCTCTGTCTTGCTCATGGCTAGCCATAAAGCCCAGAATCTTGGAAAGGGCCTTTTTTTTTCCTTATTGTTCTCTCGGGACAAATGGGAGCACCGCTCGAGGTTTCCAGTGGATTGCTGATAGCATTTTCAAAGCAAAAGGAGAGGAACAATCACAGAAAGAAACAAACAAAGCAACAATGGATGATGGATATCCCATTGACAAAGCTGAATTCTTGAAAAACGAAACTAGATAACAGTTGCAGAGAAACTTGCTATTAGTTCCTTCATGTTATTCCCATGATGAGAAGGAAAAAAAGGCGAACAGTGGACACTGACGCATTCGGAATAAAAAGGTGGCGCCATGAACTCCGGCGACGACGAGACACCCGACGACTACGACCATGACACGATACAACACCGGGCGGTGGGGTTAGATTACCAACGACGGCCGGCGACTGACAACTTGCTGGCGACTGACTTGTTTAACCAGGACGGACACAGGAACAGGGGCACTGCTGCTGCTCGCGCTGCTGCACCAGCCATCAGACGGTGAGCCCGCGCATGAACTCCCACTCCTCATCGTCTTCATCCTCGGCGGCGCCGGCGGCCGACCCTTCCGAGTCGCTGCTCATGCCGCTGCTCTCGCCGCTGGACAACACCGCGGCCTCCGGGTCGAACACCAGGTACGGCATTGCGCCGAAGGCTCTGGCGAGGGCGGCGGCCGTGGCGCCGTCGGTCCTCTGTTTCAGCACCTCGTACATCACCTCGGGCTCGTGCTGCATCGCGCGGAGCACGTCGGCGCAGGACGGGCCCGCGGCCGCGCGCGTCACCGCGAAGCAGTGGGGGCCATCGCACTGCGACACGCGCACCACGCTGGGCCCGCCGAAGAGGTTGTGCAGCCCGCCGAGGGCCTCCTGGTAGGCGCCCCCGAGGAACATGCCCAGGTAGTAGCCCCGGGTGGCGTGGGTGGGGAGCTCGTGCAGCGGCAGGCTGTGCCTCCCGCCGATGAACTCGCTCACCTTGCCGTCGCTGTCGCAGGTGAGGTCCGAGAGCACGCCGTCGACGGCGGGCCGCTCCTGCAGGCGCTGGATCGGGATGATGGGGAACTGCTGCCCGATGGCCCACATGTCCGGCAGGGAGGTGAACACGGACAGGTTGATGTGGTAGGTGCGCGGCGGCTCGGGCGCGCCCATGCCGCGGGCGACGAGCTCGCAGAAGGCGTCCACCGCGGCGAGGTGCTCCAGGCCAAGAACACCCTCCTTGAACTGCTCGGCGGAGCGCCGCTTCAGCTGATCGGCGTACAGGGCGCAGGTGTCGTAGTCACCGCGCACGGCAGCGGCCATGACGTTGCGGTAGTCGGCGCGGCAATCGTCGGTGAGCTCGTCGAGGAGGTAGGCCGTGGCCGCGTCCAGGCGGCCGGGCGCCGTAGCCGAGAAGGCCTCGAACACCAGGACCGAGTGGTGCGACACCAGCGCGCGGCCGCTCTCGCTGCAGATGATGGGGTGCTGCACCCCCTTGCGGTCACAGACGCGGCCGACGGCGCCCACCACGGCCGCCGCGTACTCCTCCAGGCTGTACGCCACCGACATGTCGGTCTGCGCCGAGTGGGTTCCGTCGTAGTCAATGCCGAGGCCGCCGCCGACGTCGATGACGCGCATGTCGGCGCCGAGGCGGGCGAGCTCGCAGTAGATCTGCGCGGCCTCGCCGACGCCGTCGGAGAGCAGGTCGGTGGTCGGGATCTGGGAGCCAATGTGGAAGTGCAGCAGCTGGAGGCAGTCGAGCATAGCAATGGCCTTGAGCTTGGTGAGAACGGACAGTATCTGCGTGGCGTTGAGGCCGAACTTGCCCTTCTCCCCGGACGTGGAGCCGAAGTGGCCGGCGTGCTTGGTGCGCAGCTTGGCGCGCATGCCGACGACGGGGCGCAAGCCGAGGCGGCGGCTGGCGTCGACGACAATGTCGAGCTCCTCCTCCTGCTCGAGCACGATGACGGTGTTGAGGCCCATGGAGCGCGCCATGAGCGCGAGCGAGACGTAGCCGTCGTCCTTGTAGCCATTGCAGATGAGCAGCGCGTCCGGGTTGCCGCGCGCGGCGAGGCAGCTCATGGCGAGCAGCAGCTCGGGCTTGGAGCCGGCCTCGAGGCCGAACCCAAAGGGCGCGCCGAACTCGACAATGTCCTCGACGACGTACCTGTCCTGGTTGCACTTGACCGGGTACACGCCCTGGTACCTGGAGCCGTAGCCGGTGGAGCGGACGGCGTAGCCGAAGGCGGCGTTGAGGGTCTCGACGCGGTGGCGCAGGACGTCGGGGAAGCGCACGAGCAGGGGCAGCGGCAGGCCGAGCCCGCCGCCGGCGCGCGGGCCCGCGGCCTTGGCCACGACCTTGGCCAGGTCGATCTCCTGGCCCGGGAGCGTCGCGGCGCCGTGCGGGCGCACGGCCACGTCGCCGTCGTCGTTGACGAAGAAGTAGGGCGCGCCCCAGCCGTCCACGTTGTAGAGCGCCGCGGAGAGGTCGGCCGACCAGGGGGCGGTGTCGGCCGCGGTGGCAGCGGCGGGGCCCACCACGGGCGGGGCAGGGAAGCGCGCCGCCGCGTCGCAGGATGCGAAGGCGTGCGCCACGGGTGTTGCGGCGTCGACGGCGAGCGCAGGCATCTCGTCAGACAAAACCGGAGAACTCCACAGATGTTTTTTTTTTTTTGGGGGGCGGTGGGTGGGATTTGGTTGGTTGTTTTTCCTGTGCTGTAAATTTGCTGTTTTGGGTGGCGTTAGCTGGGTGCAGATGATGAACAGGGAGGAATGAAAGGTTGGAATGGATTTGCTACCGGGAAGAAGGAAGGAATCAAATTCAAAATGATGATATATATGAAAGAAGCTAGAAAAACCAATCGATAAGAAGAAGAGAGGATCGAAATCGAAGGGGGATCGAGATCGATCGTCAGGGATGCCAAAAGAGGAAGTTCTGGAAGGGGAGGTAGAAGAACTCTAGGACGGGATTTTGGATCCTGTTGTGAGGAAGGGGGCTTTGAAAGCCGCCGAGGCCGGAGCCCCGGCTACCCCCGCAAACGGAGCAGGCGGTGGGGGCGCGCGCGGCGGGGAGGGTGTCGTCGCCGGTGGAGGAGCCCGGGCACCCCACGCCGGCGGTCAGGAGGAGTCGGGGTGGGGCGGGACGACGGCGGCGGCTCTCGGAACGGTCGCGGGGTGGCTCGCTCGCTCGCTCGCGGTAGGCTCGTTCACGAGGAGAGGCGGACGGAGGCGGGCGGCGGCCAATCGGAGGACGGGAGGGCGAGATGCGGACTGCGCGTCGTGACCGAGGCGAGGGTTACGGGGGCGCGCCGAGACCCCTTTTATAGCGGCCGCTGCCTCCGGTGGGCCCGTACGCCCGGCCCGCCGCGCGTCCCTCTTGTTTCCGCTAGCCTTTTGTTGGTGGTGGAGGTGCGGGTGCCTCTCCCCTTCTCGTGGCCCGTGGGTGGCTCTGGCCAGAACTCTTCCCCCCCTAGTCTGTGGGGTAGGTATGCGTTTGACCCCGACGAAACGGGCCCAGTCGTCAGTGGCCGGGGCTGGGCAGGTTCAGGGAAGCCTCGTTTGTTCGTGGCTGGCTGGGGCGGGGCCCGTTCGTTAATCGCGAGCCTGGCCCGCTTGGCTCACTCGCAGCCGCTGACGCCTGGGGCCATGTGGCATTACCGTTTGAGCGGCTGCTGCTGGCCCTGCCCTGCCGCCAGTGGCGGTTGTTGGGTTGGAGGCTAGTAGCGGGCGGCTACCCCGGGGTCACGCTCTTTGATCGCTCCCTTGTTCCGTTGCGCGTGGCTGCGGCCGCGAGCGAGGGGGCCCGTTGGATCCATCATCCGGCGGTGGGGAGTAGCCGCGAGATCGGACTTCTCCCTGGTTTTGTATGCAGTTTACTCATGCGCGCGCATCTGGGATTCACTGCGGCCCTCCCTGGCTGGAGTGCTGGCTGCTGCTGCAGGCGACGGGGGTCGCCGGGTTTCAAACGCGCGGGGGCGGCTGCTGGGCCCGGGGCGCGGGCGCGGCCGCACGACGACCGCGTGAGTGAGCCGTGGCGAGGCCGAGGGGGAACCCAGCGGCAGGATTCTGCTGCGTTTCACCCCGAGCGGTGCCGTCCGTCCGGCCTCCGCTCGGCCCACGCGCGCCGCGCGCTTTTCCCCGCGGACGGGCGGGCGAGGGGAAGGGAAAATATGCGTGGCGTTCTTTTACCCGGGCCAGGACGAGGAGCTTTGAATTGCGGGGAAGTTTTCTCTTTTTTTTCCCTATCAGCGACGTGTTTTTTTCCTCGCGCTTCTTTTCCTTTTCCTCGCGCTATCTGTCTTGGATCGGCTACGAAAAGTATAAAACTGTTGGCTGCGAAAAGAAATAGAGCTCTGATGTGTACTATGTAAACTAGATGAGATACTGCATGTTACTTTGAAAATTTATAATACTCTAGAAGATACTCCGCGCATTGATGCGGAGATTGCGAAAAATTAAAAATGAAATTAAGTAGAGATGGCATAGATAGTTTGCATTAAGAGATTGAAAATTAGTGGTATCACATGTCTATTAGTGAAAGATGATGAGATAATCAGTGGAATATGATGTGGATATCTTACATGTTGAGATATAACTTGAGATGACGTAGATAGCTTGCACGGAGAGGTTGGAAGTTAGTGGCATGACATGACTATTAGTGAAAGATGATGTGATGTCTTACATGTTGAGATAAAACTTGAGATGATGTCGATAGCTTGCATTAAAATGTTGGACGACAGTGGCATGACATGGCTATTACTAGAAGATGATGTGGATGTCTTGCACATTGAGATAGAATTTGGGATGATGTGGATAGCTTGCGTTAAGAGGTTGAAAATTAGTGGCATGACATTGCTATTAGTGGAAGATGATGTGGATGTCTTGCATGTTGAGATAAAACTTGAAATAATGTGGATAGCTTGCATTAAGAGAGGTTGAAAGTTAGTGGCATGACATAGCTATTAGTGTAAAATGATGATACGACTATTAGTGAAAGATGATGTGGATGTCTTGCATATTAAGATAGAACATGTAGTGGGGATTAACTTTATAAGAGATATAGATTAATGGGAAGAGAGAATGGTGGAGTTAAAAATAGTGAAATCATAAATGGGAATAAATCAATCATTGATGGGATGGAATACATTTTATGATATGACTAGCAAATATGTCCGTACGTTGCAACGGGAGAGAGAAAACCTATCAAATGTTAAAGTTAAATGATAATGTTATATTTTTACTTATTTTTTTTACACTTTCCATTAGATTAATAAGCTATAGTTTATTTTAAAGTAATCATGACTTCCATACTACAAGTTAATATTGGCAATAATATGATTGTGACCAATTAAGTCTATTTCAAATTAAAAATATAACATTGATAGATATTTTTTCTTCTGTGGTAAGGTATAAAAATATTTAGTCGTAAATATATTATAACTTTAATTTTCATTATCATTGTGTTGGTAGACTTACATTTCTAGGTACATGATTTTTATTGAGGACCTATAAAAATTTGTAATTCTATTATATGATCAAAGTCGTTAATGGGTTTCGTGTCAAGGATTGCTCTGTCCGTTCATAATTATAGTAGGTATCTCTCTCAATTTTCACATAGTAGCCCACATCATGAATTACATTGGTACACGCATACGGCTTAGAGATAGAGTTATTTTGATTACATTAGACAATGAAGTACTTAAAATTTCAGTTCACAGATTGATTAGTTGGATCATTGACTCAATAAAATTCTAATAAACATTAATTTTATTCCTTATCAAAACTACATTAACATTTGTGAACTGAGCGTAGCTTAGCTGGTTGGGTTCCTTATGGTGGAATCTGCCCACCCCGGGTTCAAGTCCTCGACTTGATACGAGTGCTCGCATTTTCTTGAATTTATTATAGGATTTAACGACGCTTTTTTTAGTGGTAGTCGACGTGCCTATCAACAGCGAGGTGCATGTGGTGACTTTATCAATATCAAAGATTTGTCCTCTTTAGTATTATGGGGTCCCGTGTTTTAGTTTGGACGAAAAATCTAATTATGGCAGAAATTTTGCCTTTTTAGTACTAGGTATAGATATAGAAAATAAACTCTTCATGTGTTGAAGTGGGAATTGTGATAAATTTTCAAAGAGCACCGGATAAATGAAGCAAATAGTAAAGTAGTAGAAACTATTATTATTTGGCGAACAAGTCTTCATAAAAGAAAAATAATATTTCAAGGTATATGTTTCAGGTGATCAATTTGCTTCTATGCTAACGGCCTGTTTGCTTGGTCATAAACGATCGTAAATTTTTAGTCAGAACAATATTTTTCTCTCACACCAAACCAGCCAGCAGTAATAATCCACGATCATATACGATCGTTTCGGCCCAGCCGAACAGGCTGTAAGTCAACATTCATTGTAGTTTTACATTGTATAATCAACATGTGCCTTCCTATCCATGGCTTGGCGAAGCTCGAGAGTGGATATACTGTGGTACCAATGGTGTGACCTCACCATTATCACCAGAACCGCACCATGGTGTGGTCACCGCATACTCACTGCTATAGATTTAGATATCACCGTCGGCCTCATCACTGCTAGATTTGGTGAGAACCAGCCGTGATTAACCTTCACTACCGATTCTGAGCTTGAAAATGAAAAAATAATTGAGGCTAGGGCTAAAACCGACAATGAAGGACCACATCACTACCGGTTTGTGGCTTACACCGATAGTGAGTTGGCAGCCACTTGTCACTGCCGGTTCTAACCAAGAGCCGACCGTGATTTAGTGCTATTATTGTCGGCTTCGAGCCAAGAACCGACGGTGATAAAATAGCAGTATAAAAAGCCGGCACCGTCCTCACCTTCCTCCTCTCTTCCATCCCGAGCACAGAGGCACATGTTTGGGCCGCTCCCTCCATTGTTGCGGCTGCTCTTCACCGTGAAGCTAGCTCTTGGATTTGGAAGAATGGCTTGATCTTTTTGCTTTAAGGTTAGTAACAAGTATCAACTCTTTTGATTTTGTTGCTTAATTAGCATTGTTTTGATTGCTACATTGCTTGATTCTCATTCCAGTTCTTTCTCCGTTCTAGAGAGCACTTTTTCAATTGGACTTTGTGCAAGGCTTCCAAGCAAATTGTGGTGAATCCATCGTCCAAACGGTTAGTGTCCTTGAACACATTTAAAATCCTAGCTAATTACATGGTGGTCAAGATCATTGTTAGTATGTGATGCTATAATTAGTTCTTAACAAGAGTAGAGTAGATTCTTTTACAATTTTGGTGAGCAAATTAATCCATGTGTCACCTACCAACACATTGTTTGGAGCTATATTGTTGTTCATGGTCATGTCTCTAATTTTAGTATTGTTTAAAAAATTAGTGTCTCCATTTTTATGTGGCATCGAGTAGAATAATTGTTCTTCATTATTGTGCAATAATTGTTTTTTATGGGGCTATGATTTTTAATTTATATGGTCGGGGCTATCAATTTCAATTTTTCAATAATTAGTGTACAATAATGGTTTCCAAAAATAGGGTGACTAAATTAAATAAGTGTAGAATAAATGATACTTTTCGAGCTACAATTGTTGTTCATGAAGCTCGACTTCTTATTAATTTCTATGTACTTACTGTC